TTAAATCAGCTAAGCCTCTGCCAGCCTTCCTGCCTGTGCAGCCTGCGCGACCAGCTGCCCCCAAAGGAGCTCCTTTGCCCAGACCGCTCCCTATGCAAGCTTCATTTTACGCCACTTACCCTTCTGACGCTGTGGTTTCAGGAAGCTTGGTGCCCAGTTGCCCAGCCAAGGCTGCTAGTTCCTTTTTGACCAAACCGCTTGATGAAAGTCTTGGGGCGCCAACTCATGAGTTGCAACCGCCTGTGCCCAAGTCCAGCACGGGTTTTGTGTCTAGCAGACAAGTTCACCAGGAGCGCTCTTCGGCAGTACTCAGTCTCTTGCTTCAGCTTTGCACAATTCTTCAGCCCCTGAGTAAGGTGCTTGCAGGCTTGCAGGGTTCGCTTCACGAGCTCGAGCTCCTGCATAAGGTCGCTGACACCACGGCAGCACGTTACTTGAGGTCAGCTTTACTCTTCGTTCCAACTGTTGAAGACTTAGGGGGTAGTGTGCTCTCCCTTTCAGACGCCTTGGCGGCAGACGCAATCTTTGTCTTGCACCGTGCTGGGGAGGGGTGCTTAGGCCATCCCTCAAATGTGCTTAAAGCCGTTCGTTGGGTTACTAAGACTAGAGCCTGACCCGTGGCCCAATCTTTGGTCCTCTCTGTTCGGCATTTTTGCAGGCTCAAGTGCTTCGGAAAGAAAAGAGAGTGTCCCGCTTCCTTGCGGGTTCCTGGCTTGGATGGAGCGCTCTATTTTGGGGGGCGGCTTGAGTGAATACTTTGTTTGCTTTGCGGGGGCAGTGCTTCTGTGCTGCAACTGCAGCTTGCGCTTTGGGGACTCCCAGCATGTAGATTGGTCCAGCCTGGTGGTTGATAACCAGGTCCTTCGAGGCGTCTCTTGGAGAACCAAGACTAGTCGCTCCGGGTGCCCCTTTGGCATCCTATGCGCAGGATTCTACGGAGGCACTGATCTGTCGCGGACGTGGGTTGGGCACTACCTGACCTGCTTAAACTCGCTTTGGCGTAGGGTTCGTGCATTTGCCCCCCAATCCACTCCTGACTGCCTCTTTTTCTGGGTTTCAAATGACAGCTTTGCTCCTCGGTCTTATGCTGCGACCCTGAAGTCTCTACGGACATTGCTGGTCTCGTGGGGGGGCTGCACTGATTCCTCAGTCTACACCTTGCACAGCATGAAATCTACTTTTCTTAGCTGGATGGCTCAGGTCGGTGTCCCGGAAGAGCTGCGGGCCAAGCAAGGCCACCATAGGCAGTCTTCCGCGCAGTTGTACTCTAGAGATGATGTCTTTCCTCAACTTCGTGCTCAGATGCTTTGGTGGCAGGCATTTTAGAGAGGCTTTCATCCGCTTGTGCCGCAACACAGGGGTGGCCAGCGCCCACTTCAAGAGCCTGCCCTTCCCAGGGATCCTGGGGTCTTTGCTCCATGCGCTTTGCAGCTTGACTTGTTCCACTGGGATTCAGATGCTGCTGAGGTAGGTGCCGAGCTTCTTGCCACTTCTGTCTGCAGCTTCGGCCCAGCATCAAGTCAGCAACTGAGCACTGACTTCTCCCTTCCAACTGTGGAGAAAGTCCAGCAGCCTCCCTGCATGCTGGACAGTGACGTTGAGGAAATGTCCGAGGATAAGCAAGACACTGCGCCTGCCGCACCTGAAGCTTTGGATGCTGCTTATCCAGAGAGTGCTTGCTCAGCAGTCAAGTTTCTTAAAGCATCTTCAGGCGTAGTGCACGCAGCCGTGCGGCACCCTGGCACAGCCAAAGTCTGCTTGCTTTGTCAAAGCGCTTCGTGTGGCGCTCGCTTATTCCCAGCCTGCGGGGCCATAGCCTCAGTTACCGACTTAGCTTCGTGCTCAAAGGAGCGTACGTGCAAGCGTAGAGCCTGCTCGCTGCTTTTGGAGGACTAAATCCGTTCAGCTTTTATAAAAAGGAGGTACTCCTGTCGCATGCAGTCTTGCTTCTTTTGCGTGCACAGTCTTTGCATTTTGATCATGCCTTGCATGTCCGCAGCAATTTTGAAGATCTTGCGGGGTCAACACTTTGCCTACTGCTTCTTCAGGTGAACCAGCTTGTTTGCTGTTTTTGGCGTCAGCTGGCTTCACATGCCTTTGGCTTGGCCAGGTTCGCTTTGGCTCTCGCTGCTCCAGGGGCGCACCGCAGGGAGGTGCCTTTCGCTGCACCGCTTGTGCTTCTGTCACCGCTTGTGACCATGTGCAAAACCGCACTTTCCTCAGCTCGCTTTGGCCCCCCTCAGCTTTGTATTTTCTTCGCTGGTAGTTCTGCAGCTATGCCGCTCCCCTCCAAGGTTCATGACACTTTGGCACGCAGCCTCAACAATTTGACTGTGGTCAGTGACACAGTTCTTCATGAGCTGGCTCAGACCGTGCCAACTAGGCAGGCGGATAAGCTTCAGCTTCTGCTTAACAAGCTGCTGGAGAGAGCTGAAGTGGAAGCTTCCTCCACCAATGCGGCATCTTCCTCGACTTCCAATTTGGGTCCTGAGGTTCCTACTGCTACATCAACTGTGGATGCCGTGAATAACCTCGAAGCTTTGAGGGGGTGCTTTGGCCGTTGATGTCATTGAGGCTCTTGCAGCTGAACCAGAGCCTCCTCTTGCTCCTTGGGACGCCCCGGAGCCTGCCACCGCTGCTGCTTCGTATGATGACCGCCGGGACTGCAAGCCTCAGACCCGGCTGCTTTGGATGGTTCGCCGCCTGCGAGCTTTGGCCCTGCGGATGATGCTGACCCTTGGGCAGGTTGGAGCGCCTCGCAGCTTGGTCAGGGAGAGCCTTGCCCTCCAACTTCGGCCGCAGAGCCACAAAGTGCTCCGCCTGCAGCTTCGGGTCAAAGCGCTGAGCCTGGCTTTGACGCTGCGGGGCACACGCCAGCACCCACCCCAACTTCGGGTGGCCCTCTGCCGGACAGGGCGGAGGACTGGCGAACCCTCGCGGGTGAGCCATTGCCTTTGGTTGGCAACCTGCAATTGATTCAGCTTTGGGCTTGCAGAGTCGCGTGTAGCGACTGTAGTCAAGCGCACTGTGTGAGAACGTTCCAGCAACTTGTGCCACAGCTGTCAGCGTGAACGACGCTCTTCGTCGTCAGCTGGCGCAGCTGCTAGCTTTGGCCCTGAAGCAGCTTCCTCCCACCTGGAGCCAGCTTTGGATGCCGCAGCTACCACGGAGCCAACTACTTCCGCTTCAGCTTCGGCCCCGGCAGAGCAGCCCTCAACCCAGGCGGACAGCTACACTGCGGACGGTGGCTGGGCAGCTGGCTCCTGGAATGGAGGCTGGGGCAGCTGGTGGGGTGGCAGAAACTGGTGATGCACTCCACTGTCTGCTGCTGAGCATGTCGCTTCTTTTTCAGCCCTTGAGTCAGTGGCTTTGACCATGCTGGATGTAGGCACAGTGCCGTTCCCAGTCTTTGAAGGCCTTTATTTTCCAGTCCTCCAAGGAGGTTCGAGGATTCCCTGGCTTTGGTTTGGGGAGCCTCCAGTTGATCCAGCTTTTGGGCGCCAACTTTGCTTTCTGCTTCAGCCTACCTGGCTCAGCCAAAAGAGTGGTCCGACTCACAGCCTGCCTTCGCTTATTTTGCTTGTTGTTGCGCGTCATCTGTAATCTCTTCGGTCAGTTGCATACATGTCGTTCTGCATGTACTTCGCCCTGGACAGGTGCTATGGATGCTACCTTTGCGGAGGTGGCCCAAGAGTGCTCAGTTCCTTCAGACTTTGCTTCTACAGTGCTCTCAGCTTTTTCAGTTGCAACCTTTGCGCGTGTGGCTAGCACTCGAGATGGTTGTGAATCAGTCTTTGCTGAGCTGCTCGTCGAAGGACATTTGGATTCTAGTCCAGCAAGTGAGCGCATCCAGGCACTTGCTTCTCTGAGGCTTCTGTTCAACAGATGTCGCTCTGAGGAGCAGCTTGCTTCGCTTGAGGCTCCGCATCCGCCTGAGGTTGTGCCGCCTGCACCTGCAGGTTCTACACCCCCGGCCGCTGGCTTGGGGTGGCACGAGGCTTGGCCAGCTAAACTAACAGCTGAGGCTGTAGCAAAACTTAGGGAAGACTTTGAATCCTCTTACCCTACAGAATTGCTTGATCAAGATTCATTTCCCTCTAGCAGACTCTTGGCTTTGGCGTCCCGGATTCAAACCTCCAAAGAGGTGCGGTGGATCCCCTGGAAGTTCAGGCTGAGCTCCAGGGCGCAGGACGATCACTTGTTGCTTCGGCCTAAGAAGACGCCCAGACTGTCTGAGCTTAGTGACCTGCTTCTGGATGAAGCTCCCACTCGGGAAATCCACTCAGGGCCTGTTAGTCACAACCTCTTGTCCCAGTTGCTTTCTCTGAAGGCTGTGGCACTTAGCCTGGTCAAAGCCTGCCACTTGGGGTCCATCAAGATTTACAACAGGAAATTCATCCGCCTTTGCTTTCCCAGGTTCGAGGCAGGTTCGGGCCTCCGGGGCCCCAGCATGGAGGAGGCTCAGCAAGCGGACAAGTGCGCTTGGGAGGTCATTTCTGACCTTTGCAATCTGCACCAGTGGACTTTGGACAATGCAATTTACGAAGTCACTGAGGTCAGATCAGAGCTTTCAGCCTTGCTTGCGCCCAGGCCGGCCATGCCGAAGCTTCCCCCCTCCACCTCACCTCAACACCCCGTTTCGTGCTAGGGGCCGTGGAGGCAAGGGCCGAGGTGGCAAGGAAGGTCGAGGCAGGTCCACCTCAGGCAAGGGTCAAGGCAACAAATCTTCGGCCGTACCAGGGGGCAAATGGCTCAGCACCCTGTACGAGGGAGGTCAGAAGAAGACCATCTGTAGACTGAGGAAGGGTGCCATGACCCAGCTTGTAAATATCTTCATGTCTGTGCAGTACCCACGCCCGAAGGTCGTGCTTGCGGGGGTAAACACCCGGCCTTTCGCCATAAGGCCACTCCTCATTAGGGGGGCCGCTGTGACTCAAGCAGGGGAGTTACGGTGGTGCCTGGCTCTGCCACCCTGCAAGGCCATACTGGCTCACTTCCAGGTGTGGTCTTCTCGTCATCTTCGGCACAGGCCACGGCTTCGCCCTTGCTTCTGCAGCAGCAGGGCCTCTCCTTGGCTCAGAGTGCTTTGGATGCAGGTCGTTTGGATTTTGACACGTGCTTGGCATTGCTTGAGGATGTTTTGCAGCCGTCCTCCCCCACTTACTTCAACTTCGGAGCATGCCCTTCGCTTAAGTCAGGTACTTGCTCTCTTTACTCCTGCTCAGAGGGCCAAGCCGACTTGATCAGATTTGTCAACGCTCTTCTTTTGCGCTTCTTCCCGGAAGGTAGGTGGTCTTCCCTGTGGATCAACTTCGACTGCAAGAAGCTTCCGCATCGGGACAGCCAAAATGCCTCAGGTTCAGATAACTTTACCTTCTCCTTGTGGGAGTTTCAGGGTGGGGGTCTCTGGCTTGAGGAAGCTGCCCTGTCGTCTGGCACTGCCGCTTTGGTTCCTCCACCTTCAGCAGTGCCTGGCATGCCTCACGCGTTAGGTCAGGTTGTTGATACCAACCGGCGCCCTTGCTCATTTGCTGCTTGCGCCCTGCATGCGACTATGCCCTGGCAAGGCCATCGTTGGCTGGTGACAGCTTACACCTGTCAGCACCTCTCAAGCTTGTCTGCATCTGCATCAGCCATTCTTCGGGGGTGGGGGTTTCCTCTGCCACCCTCGGTTTCCTCTCCTGTTGCCGTGCCAGCTTCAGCTGAAGCTCTTGTGGTCTCCAACGCTGCCGCTTCAGGTGCTCGCATCTTCGTGGATGTTTGCTGTGGCGCCACTCGCCCGTTGTGTGCCGCTTTTGAGGCCTTGCATCTTCTAGTGCTTCCTGTCGATATTCTGCAGGACTCGCCGTTGGACGTCCTTTCAGATGACGTCTTTGACTGCTTGATCCGGCTTTGCTTCTCGGGTCAGGTGGGCCTCATGCACGCGTCCCCTCCTTGCAAAGAGTACTCTCGTCTGAAGCTTATGCCGGGGGGACCTAAAGCCATCAGGTCCCGCGAGTTCCTGGGGGGGTTGCCCACAAATACAGCTGAAATGCAGTCACGGGTGCTTTCCAGTCGAGCTTTGCTTGAGAGATGCGTGCAATTACTCGAGTGCGCTTTTGAGGGTGGTGGCCACGGCGACTTGGAACAGCCAACTAATGCCATGAGCTGGTTGGAGGACTTTGTGCAAGCCTTCCTGCTTCGTGTACACGCATACTGCATCTCCACTCCAGCTTGCCGCTGGGAGTTGGATGTTGCTAAAAGCTGGTTGTTCGCTTCTTCCACCTCGCTTCTCGCATGCTTGGCAGCGAAGTGTGAACATCCTCGTGGATCGCATGCATCTATTGCAGGTGTTCTTGACGCCTTTGGTGGCTTCGCTTCTCAACAGACAGCTGTCTATCCTGAAGGGTTGTGTCGCGCTTATGCTAGCGCATGTTCCAGCCTTCTGGCCTCTACGCAGCCTTGCACGACTCCTCTTTCTCTTGCCTCTGTTTAAGCAGGGCTCTCGCCCAAGCCGAAGCTGGGCCCACCCACTGCCACACAGGACGGTGGTGGGATAACTAGTGTCCCAGACTGGAGTTTTCCTCCCGTGGGGGTGCAGGATTGCATGCAAAGCCTTCGCGCCAAACTTCATGCGTGGTTGATGGAGTCTAGAATTCCTTGCAGACTCCACGCACTGTTGCAAGGTCAGGAGCTGTCAGGTCTTTTCTCGGCTGAAGAAGTTGCCCATGCACGTTCCTTCTTTGCTGCTTGGCTTTTAGAGCACGGTTACTCCGGTCAAGTCTCCTGGGAAATTCCTTCGGGCCAGCCCTACGCTTTGCATGCTTTGGCAGCACTGAGCGCTTGTCTTAGGGACAGAGACTCTGCTTTGTTCCCCGCTTTGCTTGCCGGGGTCCCGACTGGTTTCGACTCGGATATCCCTGCCAGTGGGTGTCTTCTTCCTGCTCCGCCCTCAGAACATGCCTTTGCTTTGGATCTTGCCATCTGCCAAGGCAACTGGCAAGGCGCGGAGTCGGACCCAGCCAGTTTGCAAGAGCTCATCCAAGCAGAGGAGGATGCTGGCTTCGTGCGTGAGTTTCCATCTTTGGAAGCCGCTCAAGCCCACTTCGGTGCAAGCCGTGTTGCAGTAGGCCGGGTGAACATAGTTCACGCACCCGGGAAGAAACCCCGCTTGGTAGTAGATTCTTCGGTTTGCCACACAAATCAAGCATGCAGAGTGCCTGAAAAGTCTTGTCTTCCTTCTTTGGGTGACATACGCTCTGCTTTTCCTCTGCGAGAGGACATTGAAGAAGTTTCCGCCTTTTCTGCAGACATTCGTTCCGCCCACAAAACGGTCAGAATTCGTGAGACGGACCAGGGCCTCTTAGGCTTTCGCCAGCAGGAGCGATTGCTTTTCTACCAGGTGGCCCCCTTTGGCGCGGTGTTCTCCAGTCACTGGTTTGCCAGGGTGGGCGGTTTCTTTGTCAGAGTTCCGCGCCAGCTTGTTTTTCTTGCTCACGTGCTCATGCTCTACTCAGATGACTTGCTGCTTTGGCAAAACCGCAAAGTTCTGCCCTTGGGAGCTTCTGTGGTGCTGTGCTTCTTTGCCTGGTTCGGCATTCCCATCAGTTGGCCCAAACTGCAGATGGGCCGCAAGATCACCTGGATAGGCTGGGAGCTCAACTTCTCAGCCGGGGGGCTCCGTCTCCCAAAGGACAAGCGTGAGAAAGCCATTGCTCTTCTGGAGGCCTGTTTCTCAAGCCGTCACGTCTCTAAGAAGCATCTCGACAAAGTCTTAGGCCTCATGCAGTGGATTCTGCAATGTGCGCCGGAGCTTAGGCCATGGCTTTGCTGTTTGTATGATGACATGCATCGCCCCTTGGGCACAGCGTACAGCGTCGACCCTTCCGAGTGGCCGTGCTTGCCTGCTCACCTCTTGGACACTCTTCGCTTCGTCAGCACGCCACGGGGCACCAGCATACCCGTTGGGTCCACCCTACTTTCCGCTAGACACACTGAGGTCAAGTGCAAAGCAGACCTTCGTCTTGTGCCTATTTCCTCTCGTCGAATTTGGCTTCGGGTGGCCGATCCTTCCTCTTCCAGACGCAAGTTGTCCGAGCCCAGCCGAGAGATGCTGCAATTTCTGCTTTGGTGGTGCAAGCACCCTTGGCCGTGGCGCCCGTTGGCCTTGCCACCTGTTCTTCCCTTTGAAAGCGCAGCAGATGCCTTTGGGGAGGGCAGTGCATGTGGCGTCGGCGGCTGGCTGCGTGTTGGAGCAAACCAGTGCTTCTGGTTCTCAGAGCGCTTCACGCCTGCAGACTTCCGTTCCTTGGGCATTCCAGTCAAGGATGATGCCAACCTTGACATCTCCTCTTACGAGACGCTAGCCCAGGGATTCCTCTTAGTCCTGTTGCTTCGGACCGTTAGCGGCGGCCGTCTTCGAGTTAGACTCCCTGCACTTAGCGATAATGTAGGGGCTGAAAGTGTCATCAACCGCCTTTACACCAGCAAGCAGCCTCTTGCTTTGTTCGTGCAGCGCCTTGCCATGTGGGCGTGCGCGCATGCAGTCTCCCTTGCCTGCTCTCACATTGCAGGCGAGAAGAATGTTGAAGCTGATGCCCTGAGCCGTTGGGATGAGTCATGCCCCATACCTCACGGCTTTGCTGATGCTGCTCGTGTACGCATCTCCTTGCTTTCCTTTTGGCAGGTCCACCTTCAGCCCCAGCTTTTGCCAGGCGACACTTTCTTGCAGTGGGCCCTTCCCCAGCAATCAGGCCCTTGGCACTGAGGCAAGGCAGGCTCTTGCGACTTCTTCCTGCCCTGTGCTTCGCGCTGCTTCGCGGACAAGCTGGGCCTTTGGGGCTCGTCTGGTCCTCGAGGTTGAGCGGAACCTCGGCATCTCTGAGGGCAAGCCTGCCCGCGGGTCTTAGCTTAGCTCGTTGCTCAAGACCGTTCGCCACTTTCACACTGGGCAGGTTAGAGGCGGCTTCCTTTTTCTTGGCAACTTGGGACTGGGAATACTGTGATCTGTACTTCATAGCTTCCTTATGCTGCTTTGGTTGCAGTGCTCTTCCTTCCATACAGGACGGATGAGCTTACACAGATCCCAGCTGTCTCGCCAAGAAAAAAAGGTGCCTCAACTCGTAGAACACTTTTGCTGCAGCTTTGCTTAGCTTTGTCTAGTGGAAGTTCACTACAAGCAATGAACCAGCATATGCATCAGCGTGCATGTGAGCATTGCATGGAGCTGGCTGGTCACCGCGACTCCCTTGCCAATGGCCGTGTGTGCTCCGACGGGGGCGGGGAGGGGGAGGAGGCGGCATGCCAGCACGGCTGCCATTCGTTACTCCGGGTTGACAGTGCTGTGCCCGTAAACCTTGCCACATATCATCATGACAGGGTTGCTGTTGCGCGTATGAAGGGGGCGGAGGTGGCGGCGGCACCGGCACATGTGCGTGCACCTGCTCTGCATGAGCCGGGCAGTCAGGACAAGAACAACACGCCCAGCAAGCTTGCGCAACACACTGGTCCGGCGCAAAATTACCACAACTCCTGCAACGCCTTGATACCTGGTGTGCAAGACGATTGGTCCGTGTTTGCCAACCATCAGGGCGTGGCAGTGGTTCCCAATTTGCTGTGTTATGCCGTCGGTGATATGGTTGGTTGCGCGTGCGTGTGGGCACCCGTGGCGGGGTTGGCAGTGTAGGCTCAGCACGGGATGCATCGGGTGGAGCGGGAGGGGGTTGGAACGCAGGAGTGCAAGTTCGGGGTATTGATGCCAGGGTTGGCTGCCGATGGCGGTGTCGGCACGGGGGGGAGATGACCGGTACACGTGTCAAGATTTCCGGCGGGAAGAAGTTCGCCAAGCAAACGCATCATATTATTCAGCATGGTGGTCAATGATAAAACTTGGGATTGCAACTCTTGAATGGCTTGCACATGGGATGACGGTCCCGTGTTACACTGGTCAGCACCTGGTTCCTGCTCACCCGCCGAGCTGACAGCATCAGGGTCCGTGCGCGAGACGTCATCTAGCGGGACTGTTGCCAAAGTGGTTTCTTGCAAGCCTGTCAACGTGGACTCCGCCGTGTCTGAAGTCCACGGTCGGAAGATTGGCAACAAGCGAGCGGCTTCTGACACATCACCGTGAAATGTTAGTGTTCGATTGGCTACATGAAACAGTACGCCACAAAGTAAATGCGGGCGACGGGCGAATGTTGCTTGCCGGCTATTGATTCGTAGCCAAACACCCCATGCTGTTGTGCCTTCAACACGCACTTGAGGGACATCCATGTCTGCAAAACATCCCTCGGCGACAAGTGTATTGATTTTTTGAAGAAAGGCATCCAACGACATGTTCACATACCTCGTGAGGTGGGTGCGACCATATTGAGTGTCAACCCTGGGCGCATTGGTGTTATCCCCACGGCGCCGGCTGACTGGTGGTTCACTTGCACAACGACCCTCAACTGCTGCTCCAAGATCGGGCTCTGCAAGGGCATCGTTGGAGAAGCGGGGGCTTCAGAAGACGTAGAAAGGCACTCAGGGGCGACTCACAAGCAATTTAGGGCAGATTGCTCCGAACGTTCTCGCCTTGTCGTCCTGGGCATCGGTGGCCAGTGGAGCTCGGACGCAGCCCAATTCCTCCGGATGCTCACTCGGAGCCGTGCTCGTTCCGTGCCCGTTCGGCCCAGTGCCACGGCCGCTTGTCTCCCGCTGGTCTGCCTTGCTCTCGTTTGCTGCAGCCTGCGCTGTGGCAGCCAGCCTCCTTTCCCTCCCGTTGGGAAACGCTGCCAGCGTCGACGGGGCGGCGCTCGATCTCAGCGATGTCCAAGCCGAGACCTTCTATGCTCCACCGCTGCCCCTGCGAGCCTCGCCGTGAGCCGTGGATTTCTCCCAGCCGTGGACCTTTCCTGCCTTGGACGTTCGCCATGTGCCACGGGTCGCCTTGGAGTTTGGCTTCTCGTCATGCCTCGCGCTGGGACCGCGGATTGGCCGGAAAAGGTGCGACAAAAAAAATAAAATGCATAAATGTTTTCTTCGCACCTATGGCAAAACGGCAACGTCCGCATAACTTCCGCATAACCTTTGCAGAAATGACTTCTATGCAGCGTTTGGCCAAATTGATGGTTTTGGCCGCAAAGCCGCATAACCTCCGCATAAGCTTCGCATAACCACTGCATAGAATCTGGTTTTCATGCGGAAGTTATGCGGAGGTTTTGCGATGACCGCATATATGCGGAGGTTATGCGGAGGTCGTAGACTAAACCAAACGCAAACTTCTGCTTAGAAAATGTCTATGCAGAGGTTGGGTTTTGCAATGGCTGCAAAGAAATTGCATGCAAAGGTTGTGCGGAGGTTATGCGGAAGTTATGTGGAGGTTATGCAGCTATGCGGTCAAAAGCCACCACGTGGCCAAAACTTGGCATAGAATGCATTTATGCAGAGATTATGCGGACGTTGCCGTTCTGCAATGGCTGTATAGAAAAAATCTGTGCTGAGGTTACGCGGAGGATCTGCGGAGATTCTTTGCGGCTCAGACCAATTTCTGCAATAAAAACATTCTATGTGTGCAGACGTTGGCGGTTCTGCAGCCCAGACTGCTCGGTTCTGCTATGCAAAAGTTACGTGGAGATTGGTGGCTATGCTGCCCAGGCTCCCCCGGTCGCTGCATAAGATGCATTTTTCGTAGCAGTGACAAGTTCGTATTATTTTACGGTAAGACCCATGTGCACCTATTATGGGCCTGAACCCTGGCATCCTTATATGCCTGCTATACCCTATACGTACCTGTAAGGGTCCTTAGAATTCCCCTAGAAGGCCAAAGGGCCCATATTAGGGGCCCATACTTCTAACCTTAGAGTTATGCAGCTCAGACCCTCTGCATAAAAATGATTTTTGCCAGAGTAATTCTGCAGAAGAGGGAGCTTCCCAGCCCAGAAGCCCATCCTTCTGGCCAAAATGTACTTGATGCAAAAATTGCGCAGAAGCTTGTGGTCATGTAGTTTGTGCCGGCCGATGCTTCATGAAAAGTGTTTTATGCCACAGTTGTGTATTACTGATGCTGCAGCACGGGACCTGAGCGTTGCACTGAAAGGGGTCCTACGGGGCACGGGGCACCCTCATGGTTCCAAAGGGCCTCATGCCGACCTTGGCCAACATGGACAGTTGGAAGATTAAAGGAGGTAGCTGCAAAGAGCTGAGGCGGAGCTAAGGGCTGAAAAATGAAATTTACGAATGTTTTTTGGTGGGTGTGAACCTTTGCCCCCTTGGGGACGCGTTGCAAACAGCTGGTGTTCAGTCATCTAAACCAAGTGTAACATGGAATCAAGTGTAACATGACCGGTTTAGACCTGTTCAAATTTGTAACCAGATGTTGCGTATTTCCTGACTATATTCCCATTTGGAGCCCCGGATGCAGTGGAAAGACCACCGCTTTGTAATTCAGATTTGCTTAATTTGGAACGAAAAGGGATAGGCCCTTCTTGCGCAAGCTCATTTTAAGTTTTACTGTATTTCATTTATGAGGCTCGCTTAATTCACTTACCCGCCTCCCTTGGGCTAAGTAAAGCGCTGTTTGAGCTCCGCCCTAGCGCTCCGAAGACCCTTCCTTCACGCCTTCTCCCTCAACTTCTGCTGGCTTAACAAACGCATAGTGCGGGATCACCACCCCCTTGTGCTTTGAAATGGGCGGGGGGGTGAGGCTCTGAAATATTTCAGGGC